GAATACTTTCTATCGATGTGGATGATCAAATTGATAAAAGCCAAGAAAAAATTACGTATAGCACAAAAGTAAGCAAATTTGATCGTCTTCAAAGATGCTATGGCTATTTCACTGTTCGAATCGAGCCGAACTACGCGGGTCGCCATTTTGTTTTGCCCGGAAGTTCTCGCAAGATCTACTACTCCCCTCTCTCTCTCTCTCTTTGTCTCTTTCTGAATACTGTCTATCGGTGTGGACGATCAAATTGACCAAAACAAAGTTAAAAAATGATGTTAAAACACAAAAGTAAATTAATTTGGTTGTCTACAAAGATGCTACGGCTATTTAACTTTTCGAATCGAGCCGAACTACGCGGGTCGCCATTTTGTTTTGCCCGGAAGTTCTCGCGCTACTCCTCTCTCTCTCTCTTTCTCTCTCTCTCTCTCTCCACTGCCCACAGACAAAATTGTACGCTTTTAGTAGGCTACAGTTGTAATGGAACGTTTGTTCACGGCACAGAATTCTACAATTTTTCTGTTATCACAGTGTAGAATTCTGTGGTTTAGGGTGAACGCAAAATTTGTTGGCCTAGATCTAGGCTATAACGGTGAACGCGCACCGGGTGAGAATAGCCAAAAGACTCGCCTGCACTATTCTCACCCCGGGTGAGAATAGAGGTGGCCTAACACAAAAGTAAGCAAATTTTATCGACTACAAAGATGCTATCTATTTCACTTTTCGAATCGAGCCGAACTAGGGGGGTCGCCATTTTGTTTTGCCCGGAAGTTCTCACAAGATCTACTCCTCCCCTCTTCTCTCTCTCTCTCTGTCTCTTTCTGAATACTGTCTATCGGTGTGGACGATCAAATTGACCAAAACAAATTTTAAAAATTATGTTAAAACACAAAAGTAAATTAATTTGGTCGTCTAAAAAGATGCTACGGCTATTTAACTTTTTTAATCGAGCCGAACTACGTGGATCGCCATTTTGTTTTGCCTGGAAGTTCTCGCGTTACTCCTCTCTCTCTCTCTTTCTCTCTCTCTCTCTCTCCACTGCCCACAGACAAAATTGTACGCTTTTAGTAGTAATGGAACGTTTGTTCACGGCACAGAATTCTACAATTTTTCTGTTATCACAGTGCAGAATTCTGTGGTTTAGGGTGAACGCAAAATTGATTGGCGTAGATCTAGGCTATAACGGTGAACGTGCACCGGGTGAGAATAGCCAAAAGACTCGCCTGCACTATTCTCACCCGGGGTGAGAATAGAGGTGGCCAAAAAGAATAGTGAAAGTTGCTTGCTGCATTGATTCTAGATTCTAGATCTAGAATCTAGTTACAGTGTCGGCCAAACTCAATCTCGGAGTAAGAATAGAAATTATGTAAGGTGTACAAGTAGTTAGTTAGGCTTGCTCTAGTCTCTAACTCTAGCAAGTGTATCTAGTGTGGTATTGACTTAGAAACTAGATCTAGACAAATGACTAAGATGTGTTGGGCAGGCCTACAACATTTTATTGTCTTGTCAAATGTTCAGCTTTTACTTGTACTAAATTTAAAAGCTGTCTTCGATGTTACTAAGTGGAGTTTAATAATTAAATTAATTTTTTTACTTTTACATCTAAGTCTAATAGATCTACCGGCAGGGTTGGGTTGATTTAAATCAGGTTGATTTAAATCAGTTGATTTTAAAAAATTTAAATCAACTTGATTTTTAAAATAAAAATCAGTGATTTAAATCACTTTTTAAAAAAATTATTTTTATTCGGTTTTTACACATTTCAACATTCAGAATTCCTTTCCTTGATTTCATAAAACAGATATAAGATTCAGTAGACTAATATAATCATGCTTAAAAGTCTGATTTCCCCCCTTTCACTGTAAAATAATACAGTATTTGTTTTTGTTTGTTTTTGTAAAGTGTTTTACGGCGCTCGCAACTGCATAGGTCATATGAGCGCGCGGGACACTCCTAATATTTTCAGTTGGTAGGAAATTTTGAATTTTGCCCGGGTGGCGGCCGAAGCCTACTCTTATCGATTTTAGACCACCAAGGGATCTTTAACGTGCGCAACTTGCACACGGGCCCTCCGAGATTTTTCGCCCTTGTCCGAGAAGGCTAGGTGTAGATCTTTCCTACCAGAAGATCAGGGGTGTGGCAGAAAGACAGTAGTAAGGAGGAGCCAAGGAGTAACATTAGAAAGGCTGCAGAAAGAGTCAGGAGCCCAGAGGAGGGGGCAAAGGAGGTGAGGGGGTGGGGGGCAGAAAGTGGAAATGAAAGCAGACAACAGAACATTGCTAGAGAGCAGGAAAGGAGGTGAAAGGAGACAATTTTAGAGAAGAAAATTTTTTGGTCGCTACCCGGATTCGAACCCGGGACCTTTGAATGAGAGGCCAACACCTTAACCTCTAGGCCACGAGAGCCCCAATACAGTATTCAATTTACTTTTTTTTCCATAATTGAAATCAGAGCTGGGTTGATTTAAATCAGTTGATTAAAAAAAAAATTTAATCAATTTGATTTTAAAAATAAAAATCAGTGATTTAAATCACTTTTCAAAAAATGTATTCAGTTTTTACATATTTAAACTTTCAGAATTCCTTTCCTTGGTTTTATTTTAAACGGATATAAGATTTAGTAGACTAATATAATCATGCTTTAAAGTCTGCTTTCCCCCTGTCACTGTAAAATAATACAGTTCTCAATTTACTTTTTTTTCATAATTGAAAACCAGGGTTGGGTTGATTTAAATCAGGTCAATTTAAATCAGTTTGATTTTTTTCTATTTAAATCAACTTGATTTTAAAAATAAAACTCAGTGATTTAAATCACTTTAAAAAAATGTTTTCTGTTTTTACATCTTTAAACATTCAGAATTCCTTTCCTTGGTTTTATAAAACAGATATAAGGTTTAGTAGACTAAAATTGCTTAAAAGTCTGCTTTCCCCCCCTGTCACTGTAAGTAGTAAAATAATACAGTATTCAATTTACTTTTTTTTCATAATTGAAATTAGCATTTTCTGTTTCTTTTTAGACAAACACAAGCGCGTGCTCACACACACACTGTAATAAAAATAAAATGCAAGTTTGTCTATGCATAATTACCCCCCCCCCCCCCCCCTTCCTTTTAGACTGACATTTTCTTCATTTTTTGTCTGTAGCCATAATTCACTGATATAGCAGATTAAGGCTTTCTAAAATTGCAGTTGCTTAAATTAATCATTAGTTAAAATAAAGACAATGCATTTTGCACTAAAAGAACATACTTTTAGCCACCAAAAATCCCAAACTGTGTCGACATTTTTAAAAAAATATAAAAAATCCCATTTAAATTTAAAAAATCTGATTTAAATTTAAAAAATCGATTTTTTAAATTTTTATTAAAAAAATCACCAACCCTGTCTACCGGATTTAGAACTGTGTGATTCATTGATTGTGCTATGTATTAGCATAACGAATGAGAGCAGTGAATGAGTAATATTTTCTGACAAGACTATATGGAGATTGATAAAAAAGCAGGTGACTATTCTCCGGCATCGCGCTGGTCAGTAGTTCGATGGCTATTTTCAGGTGTCCCGTATGTCTATTCTCCACTGCTTTCCATCTCCCCTGTCAGCACGTTATCCATTAGTGTTGCCGCTGAGTTCAGTGCCAGAGGCGCCTTCTTGTACTTCTGGTTGTGACTGAGGGTTTTTGGCGCTTCTGGTGCTCTCCCATCTGACACAGAAATTCCTCCTTCTTCTATCATTGGAGCTTTCATTGAGTAGTGGCTGAGTGTCCACCTATGGTGGATCGCATTCTGAAGAAATTCCGACCCTTATGAGGGTTTGTGTAGGGCCATAACGTGCCGACAGGAGAGATAAAAAGCTATGGAGAAGCAGCATGTGCAACTATACTTGACGCCAGAGAATAGCAATCGATCTATTGACCAGCGTGACGCTAGAGAATAGCCACTTGCTTGATAAAAAGGCTTTTGGGACAAAGGTCAGTTTTGCTGCCGTTATATTACACATTGAGTAGCAAAACAATCCTGCATACTTATTCTTCAGAGA